CCTAATTCTGAACTGATGACTAGAGGGAAGGCAACTGGTTTTTTACATCGTGATATGTTTCTAATTGAGAAATGCAAAACTGTATTCTTTAATGTTGAATAAGATATAAAATCTGTGTTACACATTGTCATTTATAATTTGTGTAGTTTTATTCTTTAGTGTTAAGTAAACTAGAAATTGACTTTTTCATATTGTGCATGTGCGTTGTTTGTAACAACACACCTCTTATTTCCCTACACGCGTCTTCTGGAACCTGTAACCATCCAATTACAAACCACAATGGTATTTATGTTCACTTGCATCATGCCAGCCTTGTAATCCTTTTCCATATTGTGCATGTGCATTGTTTGTAACAACCCACCTCTTATTTCCCTACACGCGTCTTCTGGAACCTGTAACTATCCAATTACAAACCACAACGGTATTTATGTTCACTTGCATCATGCCAGCCGTGATAATTTACAAACATAAACATACCGATCAATTTTCAATAAACAACAAAAACATAAATAAATTGATACTTGCAAATTTTAATAATATCTTAATAATTTTATTAATATAATTAAGTAAAAGCACATGTAATTTTGCTTTCTACATTGCACTCGATATAAAAACATGTTCTGTAACTAATAATGTATAAATACGCTCGGATTCCATATATATATATATCTATTCTTAGGGATGGGAAGAAAGTTCCTAATAAAGATGAGTAAGTGAATTGTCTACAGGTGAGTCTCCTGGGAGACTTTACATAATTGAAAGTTTGAAGTATAATATTTCTTTGTGAATTACACTATATAAATGTTAGAAAATGACATAATATAAATTCTGAAATATTTTTGATTGAAACAAATGTTGTAATAGTTAGAATATGAATAGTTTTATTTAAATTTTAAAACTTGATATGCACCCAACACCTGAAAAATGCTCCGAGGTCCTGATGGGGTTAATGTACAGCTCAATTACTCCTACATGTTGATCTAGTTGGATTATGTTTTGTTTTTAGTAATTTAAAATGTACATGTCACAACATTAAGACTTTTATCCGTGCTCTAATAGTTGAAAATAGTTCATTTCTAGAATATAATAAATTTGTCTTATACGCTGGAAAATTATATTCTGTATATATATTTCTAGTAACAATACCCAGAAATTTTAAATCAGGAAAATAACACCTTTAAAAAGGATAAAAGTTTTAAGTATGTTTTAAAATTCTATTATGTTTTGCCTTATATATAAAAGACACTAAAAAAAAAGATACTACTCTTACCTGCAAAAGCCCTAGCCTCATCAGTTGGCACAGCTCTTAAGTGCCGTAAATCACTCTTATTTCCAACTAGCATGATGACAATGTTTTGATCAGCATGGTCTCGTAGCTCTTTTAGCCAACGTTCCACATTCTCATAGGTTAGGTGTTTAGCTATATCATACACTAGTAGAGCACCAACAGCACCACGATAATATCTGAAACGGTATATATAATTACTTCACTAACAGACACGTGATAACAAATGAAATGGTTCATTGCTTGGATTTTTTTTTTTGGTTGATATGGATGGAAACCTCTTGTACAAGAAAACTCAGTTGATCCTCTTTCTTTCAAGTTTACACTAAACAGTAATATACAGCTGCAGAAGTAAAGTAGTGAATGTTGGAAAAGCCCCAGGATTTATCTTAAAACTTTTATGAAAGCATATTATCTTAATGAAGACATGTGGTAGTTATATTTACTTTGCTATGTGAGCTACACAAGATATGACTATTGGAAAAAATTAGGGATTCCCCTGGTATATATTACATGCAGAACCTATGGCACAACACACAAATAAGTTTAATTAGGTTTAGTGAGTATAGTTGGCAAAATATTATGGCTAAGTAACCAAACAAGATTGAAGGCTATTAAAATTATGCATTGCCTGAGCAATACCAATATCATAATGAGTAATTTACATAAAATTTCAAACTTCTTGGAGGGGTGGTGAATAAATTAGAGAAGAGGGGATGCCTAGAGAAAAAAATGTCACATTTGTCATAGTAGCAAAAATTTAGAATTTTTTTTATGTTACCTTATAAAATTAAGAACTTAAAACTTGTATACTATTAAAATATATGGAGTATTAGCTACAATTTTATGCTATACTAATTGGTATAACATGAACAAAAAGTGGTTTAAATTTTGAATGTAACTCACTAGAAACCTTGTGACATGCACAGTAAAAAAATGCCAATGGCCATAGGGTTAAAAAAACCATACAGAACCCGATACAAGAAAATTTATTAAGTCCAAAAACCCTATAAGAGGTTCAGGGCCACCCCTGTACTCATATAAAAATACACAAATTCAGCTACAATATTTATATATCGTACACACGATGGTTTCAAGAACATACAAGATGCAAAATAAATTATACTTTCTTAGTTTTATTAATATAATTTCAATTTTTCCACAAACAACCTTCACACCCCCTGATACCTCTCATATAAGATTAACCTCCAATCATACTAATTGTATGTAGTTACACACTACATAATATTGCTGAAAACATCACTTACGCACTAGTGATAGCTCTGTATCTTTCCTGTCCAGCTGTATCCCATATCTGGGCCTTAATTGTTTTCCCATCAACCTGTATACTTCGTGTGGCAAACTCTACACCAATGGTGCTCTTACTTTCCAAATTAAATTCATTTCTTGTGAACCTGGAGAGGAGGTTGCTTTTACCAACACCCGAATCTCCGATCAAAACAACTGTAAAAGAAATTTAGTTGTACATTTAAAGAATAATTCAACATTAAGTTTCTAAACTATATTCTGAATATACAAACAGCATATATTTTACAGAAATTCTAGTCACCAGCTGCTGCTTTGACAATGGATCATTAACAGAACTAAGACACGAACAGTCTACAAAACCTTCCAGATGTACAACAACCTTCGTTGCACAATAGGTCACATATAACTGTATATAAGAGTAGGCAACATCACATAAATACCATCAACTTAAAACATCATCTGTTTACAAATATTTACAGTTTTTCTAAAATGTTTCTTAAGAACTCGGTATTTACACTATATGTTAGAACAAACAAGTGTTGTCTTTATTTTAGACAACATGCTAGTATGTTGCACGTAGAACATTCATAGTATGTTAAAATAACATGCCTAATCCATAAGTAATAATATGAACACATTTTAATGTGCAAGTTCAAAGATTTTAACACTGGGGACATAGAAAATTACTTTATAATGTGTTCCAGGAGACACAAACTAAAAATTACTTTCAAGTTGCTTTTTTAAGGCTTATTTATTACCAATACTTTCTAACACCTGGCACGTTTTCCACTTCTAAAAGCTAAGAAACTGTGATGTTATTACATCAGGACAGTAGTCTAACTGTGATGTTATTACATCAGGACAGTAGTCTAAACTTCATATCCAAATTCACACTTTTCAAGTCTCTGTAACTGATAAACTTTAGTCACATACAGTAAATCAACTCATTTCTACCAATAAAAGCTGAAAAGGTTATACATAAGGAAACATGTTATTTTATTATTGATGTTATTACTGTTAACCAAAACTTTAAACTCAATAAAACAATATAGCCAGTCATGGTGAGATGTTAAAATACTGAAAAAAAAAAAAATTGTTAATCAATTACATGAGAAAATAATAGTGAAGAAAGTGTATAAATTCCAGTTAATATAGTGACTTGCCTAGACAAACAATAGAATTTCGATCTGTAGTAATTAAACTGTTTTTTATTTATTATAAGTATTTCGCTCAGGTCATATTTTAATTCCAGTTCATAAACCAAACTGTCTATCTAGTAAACGGGAATTTCAGCAAAGTTGTCAGTTTTATTACTTGCTAATTTTTTATTATAATAATAGTAATTTCTTCTCACAGTACAGTTTGTAATTGAACCAGTGATAAACTATTAACAAGCCAGCATGGTTATGTGATCAACTCAATATAATTGATTGCCTACAAGCATCTATTACATTGAATAGTATCGTAAAATAAATGATTAATTGAAATTATGATTAAATTAATTAATGTCATGAAAATAATCAATTAATCTAAAATAGTGTGTCTGACTATTACCACTTCTGAATATCCCAACTGTCCAAGTAATCAAAATGATGCCATTATTATTTTTTATTATTATTTTCAATTACTTCCAGATTGTTCAGCTTAATTTAATGTGTCCCGAATTACAAAAATATGGTCTCAGATTATTACTACTTTTAATTATTCCAACTATTCACGTCTCGTGACAACAATCAATTATTGTGCCCAATTATCAAATTCTACTAATAACCCAGCTATAGTTATGATGGATGTACAACAGTCACTCAGTCACAGAATTTGCAACCAATGCATGCAATTCGTCATTATGTTTATCATAACAATTTTCTGTTGTAATTTTTCAGTTTATTGTTGTAACATCTTACGGTTCACAGAGTTTGTATTATTTCTTAATCTGCTTCCATTAAAAGTTTCTGCCACCTTCTACGTATCAATACAAATATCTTATAAACCAACTATATTTGCTAAAAACTTTCAAAGACTTTCTATGAAGTAAACACTGGTACTTCTAATCTGTGTTTTGAACAGCACATTCATATATAAGCTGAAAATTTATCCCTCCAAGTTTTCTTTGATGCTAACAAATAAAAGAAATGTAATTACTAAATCAAAACGAAGAAGAACCTACTTGGTTACAATTAGATGAGATCATATCGGTTCCAAACTCTCGATAAGCATTCAGAATTGTCTTTAATAAACTTTTTTTTTACCAGTTCCATAGTCTGAACTAAAAATCCACAATATCATACCATGTTTAACTTCAATTGGTACCAAGAAAGGTGACATCACTGGTCAATGAATAACTAATATGTACGATAATATTCTAACTCAAATTAGTACACACAAACTTTTCTCTAAAAGCTTTAAATTTAATAATTTGTTACTTTAAAAACCTTCACTAGTATTTTACAACATTAGTTTAACAGACAATGGATATATCTACTGCACAGTCTAACAAAACATTAGAATTTATCACTAACTATTTGGGAAATATTCATCAACTATCTGAAAGCCTGGCATGGGACAATAATTTTAGTGTGTTTGTGCAAAGCTATACGAGAGCTATCTGCACTAGCCGTCCCTAGTTTAGCAGTTTAAGACTAGAGATATGGCACCTAGTCATCACCACCCACCAACAATGCTCGGGCTACTCTTTTACCAACGAATGGTTGGATTGACCATTACACTGTAATGCCCCCATGGCTGAAAGGGTGAGCATGTTTGGTGGGATGGGGATATGAACCCACAACCAACAGATTGCAAGTCGAGCAGCCTAACCACCTGGCCATACCACACGACAGTAAATGCCGATTAATAGTTCTTCTGAAAAGAAAGTTAAATAAATGTTTTATGAACATGCTTTCTAAAAATGAATAATATTATTGTAACCATATATGTATAAGTAATGTTTGGCCACCTACTATAAGTGGTTCCCAATTAGAATATTAACTTGGGTACATTTTTGTGTTATGTTCAAATCTGTCTCTTGATAAAGCCTTATGGACTGAAACATGCAAAAATTTGGTTTTCGAAGAAATATTCTTACATGGTCAAATGTTTGACCGTGTGATTTATTCATTTTGATGGCAAAGGTAAAGAATTTGTGGGTGAATTCCCCTTGGTGGTATATCTTTTCATAAAACATGCTTATAAAGTTTTTGACTAAATTATTAAAAATCTCTCACCTAAGTTGAAAAACATCAATAATAATGTATTATGGTGCATCTACTGGATAAAAAGATATTTAAGTTGTGTGTTTAACATAAACAGATACTGGTGTTTATATGTAATATGGTCCCTGATTTAATCTATAATGGTATTAATATTTTTCTGATTATGCAAAAAAACTACTGCAAATAAATACTTTGAACATGTATAAAAGACGAACAAAATCCCGACTCTACTCTGACACCTAGTCTTTATAATCGAATGCTAACGAATAATTCAAATACCTAATTTAAACTGGCATATTTTTTTTTGGTTTTTTCTAATGTTGTAATACCTAGCTCTAAATATGACGAGTTAATAATTAAATAAAGGTTATAAAAAAACCCAAATTAACTGGGATTTGAGACAAACTTCTGCTTGAGACAAACTACTGAGCCACTTTGAACATTACCAACAAAAGGAGTGTACCGAACAGAGAGTGGCTTTTATTATATAGATGCCTTCAGTGTAGGCACATAGCATGTATCATGAAACAGCTGAATCAAATACACTGTAAAACACGTAACAATTCTAGTTAAGAAAAATTACAACCTGTAAACAGTATCTACAGGTATAATAAATAATATTAGAGTTACTCCTTTTAACCCTTTCCAGATGGGTTACGGGGGTGAAAGGCCACGTCATCACGTTTGTTGACTCGCATTCAAAATTTTATTGAACTGCTATTTCATGAATTTATGTTTATAACTTTGGTATCAAACTGTAGATTATAATTCATATTTTAGTATTATACTTTAATTAATTTCTTAATTTAAAAATAAATACAGTTAAACATCGATTTTTGTGTCACGTGGTATGTTGAATGCAGCACCGGTTCAAATTATATGTTTGTGATGTCAAAGTACTAAGTCTGTAGTTTCATTGTGACAACCAGCCTGGAGAAGATGGTGAACTAGACTGGAGAATTGTGACGACCAGCCTGGAGAAGATGGTGAATAAGACTGGAGAATTGTGACAACCAGCCTGGAGAAGATGGTGAACTAGACTGGAGAATTGTGACAACCAGCCTGGAGAAGATGGTGAACTAGACTGGAGAATTGTGACAACCAGCCTGGAGAAGATGGTGAACTAGACTGGAGAATTGTGACAACCAGCCTGGAGAAGATGGTGAACTAGGACTGGAGAATTGTGACAACCAGCCTGGAGAAGATGGTGAACAAGACTGGAGAATTGTGACAACCAGCCTGGAGAAGATGGTGAACAAGACTGGAGAATTGTGACAACCAGCCTGGAGAAGATGGTGAACTAGACTGGAGAATTGTGACAACCAGCCTGGAGAACATGGTGAAGAAGACTGGAGAATTGTGACAACCAGCCTGGAGAAGATGGTGAACTAGACTGGAGAATTGTGACAACCAGCCTGGAGAAGATGGTGAACAAGACTGGAGAATTGTGACAACCAGCCTGGAGAAGATGGTAAACTAGACTGGAGAATTGTGACAACCAGCCTGGAGAAGATGGTGAACTAGACTGGAGAATTGTGACAACCAGCCAGGAGAAGATGGTGAACTAGACTGGAGAATTGTGACAACCAGCCTGGAGAAGATAGTGAATTGGACTGGAGAATTGTGACAACCAGCCTGGAGAAGATGGTGAACAAGACTGGAGAATTGTGACAACCAGCCTGGAGAAGATAGTGAACAAGACTGGAGAACTGTGACGACCAGCCTGGAGAAGATGGTGAACAAGACTGGAGAATTGTGACAACCAGCCTAGAGAAGATGATGAATAAAAGCCGATGCGTGAGAAAAGCGACAATGAAGAACTCAAATTTTGATATATTTGACATGATTGATGAAGCTAAAGATAAAAAATTTACTTTGTAAATGACAATTGACATTTTAAATAAAATAAAAACAAAATATTTGTATTTGTTTTGAAAATTTTATCACGTCAGTCCATGTACTATTAGATATTTTCTTTTGTGGTGTATCTTAAATTATATGTTGTTCAAATTGGTACTACGAGACGTTAACATGGATAGTGACAGTAAAAACATGCGATATAGTATGCACGTTAGAACGAAATTTAAACCGACTATGTGTGTGTGTTCTAAATAATAACTCTGAGAAAAAAATATCTTTAATTATCATCCTGTCATTTAGTAATTAAAAAATCTAATGAAAATTCAATCAATACTCTCTCCAAAAATGCATTATATTCCTCCTCAACGATCATGATTTACAAAGTCGTTTGGCCATTATCTTAGCGTTTTCAATATGAACAAGTTGCATTGAGTCACGATGCTATTTTTAAACAAAACTGTTCTAATGATCACACAAAAGCCTTCTTTCATATCAATTAAGTGCATTGCAAATATTTTGAGTGTTATTCAAAAATTTACACAAATTTTTTCTTGCTAAAATTTGCTTCAATTTTCAAACAAACCATCTCACTTCATCCATGTTTAAATTAGAAAAAACTACTGATTTGAAACTGTTACCAGGGCAAAATGTATTCTATACATATAGACCTTTTAAATGATACCAATGACCCTTGGTCACCTTTTTTGGTGCTGACTGACCCTATGCCTGATGAACTAATTATAGATGTGGGTTATCATAATTTGAATTGTAAGTTTCACTTGGATGGGAATAACCTTAATGTTATTGAAGAAAAGGATCTTGACGTAGTGGTAATCAGTCTCTTAAGCTATCGAAGCAGTGTGCTGTTGCTAGTGGTAGGGTAAATAGGATTTTTCATTATATCTACAGAAATAACAAATACAAGTCTAAAGAATTTATAATTTCATTGTGTATGTCACTGGTTAGGCCACATTTGGAGCATTGTGTTCAGTCTTGGGCTTCTTACCTTAGGAAGGGCATTAAATTGTTGGAAAGGGATCAGAGAAGGGCTACTAGTATGATACATGGGATGGAAAGGTTGTCCTACGAGGTGAGGTTAAGAGTTAGAGGGGATCTGATTGAGGTGTTTAAGATTGTAAAGAAAACTGATAGTTGTGATGAATCATCTTTTTTCATACTTAATGGTAAGAATGGTAGGACTAAGGGCATAAATATAAATTGTGGCAGGGAAGGAATCATCTTGAACTAAGACAGTTTTATTGTTCTAACAGGGTAGTTGGTCTTTGGAATGAGTTGCTTTCATGTGTTGGCAACAGTAAATGTAAGCAAGTTTAAAGGAAACTAGATAAAAATACAAATGGTAAGGGTTGGCTTTGAGTTTGTTTTTCTTCAGTAGTTTTAATGTAGTGCATGGGACAGCCTAGACGTTTTTAAATCATCTGGATTTATGGATTCAAAACCTCTAACAATCTTAGAGTTTAATCGTGTCACCTATACTAAGTTGTCAAGAGATTCCAACCTATTCTCACGAGACAACTTCTACAAATGTGGTAGTAGCCCCTCTCTGAACCCTCTCCAACAACTCATCCATTCAAAATGATGTCTAACCAGCACATTACAGAATGACTTCATTATTTCTTTCAACAGATACTCAATGTTTTAAGGTATACAACCAAAAATCCTGTTTGTCTGGGAAACTTCAGAAACTTTGTAATAATTATGCCCAGATTTCTTCCTTGTCAACTTCACCTAGATTCTACCTGCAAGGCTATAAGAATAATCAATGTTTTGATAACCAATATGCCTAACCATATTTTGATTAAGAGTAAAAGGTATCTGCCACGTATTAGTCAAGCTTTTCAAACAATTCAAATCCTTCTGCAAGACTTCAGCATCTTTAGTACAATTTAAAATACCAATTAATATAATCTCCAAACTTAGTAATTAATCCTTTATCAATCATTAACAAAAATGACAAATAGTACAGAACCATGACACACCCACTTGCAATTTGGTCACATTTATAATTATTTTATACCATCCAACTAACCCTTAACCTGTTTAATTAGCTTTTCTCCTCTCCCAACAGATACAAACTTCCTAGAAAGTCTCCTTTATATAGCATATTACCAAGTATACCACGTTTATCGAGTTACTTATGCTGAAGTTAAATATATAACTATTTCAAAAAGTTTGTGAATTCATAAAACATTACATTCCCTGTTTAAATCCATACTGATTTAGTTTCAATTGTACATATATCTGTAAACCTACTTAAACAGAGACACTGATGTGCAAGTCTCTCTTCACTACCATTAAATCCCCCCCACAGATTGAACCTCTTTACCACTGAATGCAAGAACATACGATACATTTACTCATGGCCTTGGCATATTCCATGTATAATAATAATATTAATAATGAGGAAGAGATGTTAATCTAACATTTACACTAATTATAGTAATAATCTAATAGTTAACACTAATTTAGTGCTCATACATAAAATACCTGAACAATG